TATAATGATTATAACTATAAAAATTAATTATAAAATATTAAAAAAAAATATTTGGACAAATACGATATTTTACAAGTTAGGAAAAGTTTATGTGATATTTTGATTTTACGCAGGATAAATACGATATTTTGAAGTTTAACAAGAATATATACGAATTTTTTCCAAAATTAAAATACAAATAAAAAGTTTTCTCAATTTATATTTTATATTTTGTAGTATGTATCAGATGTATTAGTTAACTGTTCCAAAAATATTGGTTAAATGTCATGTTAATATATATATATATATATATATATATATATATATATATATATATATATATATATATATATATATATATATATATATATAAACAAACAAATGTTTTTATTATTATAGAATCATTATTGATGGATAAAACAAAACATTCCTTTTAATTTCATTTGTTTATTTAGTCAAGAAACAATATTATTTTGGGAAAATACCGGGTATAAACATTATTTGGGGTTGAATTTAAAAATATAGACACAAAAAATTGAATTTTCGGGTATAGACATGGATTTCACGGAGGTAGCTCCGCGGAATGGCAAAATCGTAAACAAATGAGGAAATTAATAAAAAAAAAAACTCAATTCCATGGACAAGGCCGGTCCATAGGATTTTATTGCCCGGAGCAAAAAAACTTAATAATGCCCCAATACTTGTATCTTCAAACTTAACTGTTAGTATATCCCACAACTAATGTCTTTTTTCAAACAAAATCATCTCCATACAATTAAAAGTTGCAAACATCAATAAAACATTGTCTTCGAGCATTCTTTGAATAAAAAATAATAATTACAATATCATAGTTAACATTAGTACTTTCAACAAGCTCATTAGATTTACATTACTTTACTCCTCTTGTAATTGATTTGCAAAAAAAAAAAAAAAAGTAAAAACTGCAATGCCAAAAAATCCCTATGTAAAATGTAAATATAGAAAATTAGAAAACAAAAATGTCATTCTCTTCATTATTTGTACTATAATCACAAAATTGAAACAAATATTCATGGAATCCACCATCGAAATTGGGAAGGAATTTAAGGAATTTCGACAGCAACGCCAAAACATTTTAGAATTGCAGCATAACCTAATTAAGGCAATCAACTTAACATGGGCTTCAACTCCAAGGGCATAATCGTCCAACACAGTTATCCCTTAATAACCTTTGAAACCAAACTTCGTATAACTTGAAATCAACAATATAAACTACATACACATCTATAAGAAAAGGCTAGAAGAGCAACAAGGGCGTAATCGTCCAATTTGGCAAAATTCAATATGTACAGGGGCGACATCTTTAAAAGCCAAATCGACCAAAACAAGGAAAACGTTATATGCACTTGGGTGAAACTCCAAGCCAGAAAAGTAACATCGTATGAGAAAGCATGACATCTAGAAGAGCTAACAAACAAATTGAGAACATGGCAATTCAGTAACAATAAGGGCACAATCAACCCAAGCGATCAAGAGAAAGGGCGAGAGAAGGCTGAAGCGGACGAGAGAGCGATGAGAGATCGATAGAGGAGATGATTTTAAATTCTAATAGAGTAATCGATCCACGGTCCATCTCCATTCTCCAGAAAGGACGCCTTGTGTTCTTCATCTTCAATTATTAGGTGTATGTTTTAGATTGAAGAGTCATGCGAAATTGATAAGTTGGCGCTAATTAGGTCTCCATCGGCTGCCCCTGACGTTTTGACGTGGATTTTAGTGGACTAACTGAATAGATGTGGCCCAATATACAATAATACCTATAACAGGCTTTAAAAAACTGATGTCCCACTAGAATTTGATGCCCTGGGCCGTGACCCAGCTCGCCCTGGGTTTGGGTTGGCCCTGTCCGCGGAGCTACGAGCTACAGTGGATTCCACGGAGGTAGGTCCGAGGAATGGATCTTCAGGAAAAAAAATCTCCTCAAATGATTTTTTATGTAATGATCTATAATTAAAAACCCAATTTTTTCCACCTCACATTCAAAGAAAAATTTATACTATCATATTCTTTTCTTGAAAATAATTAGTTGGGGGAATTAATATAAGCCCGAAGAATCGATTTGAAAAAAAAAAAGAAGAAAAGAAAACTGAAGATCCATTTCTCGGAGCTACCTCCGCGGAGCTCCGCGGAATCCACTGTAGCTCCACAAAATGGATCTTGAGTTTTTTTTATTCAGTGAGAATTTTATATATACCCTTATTAAACATCACAATATCATATTTGTACGACCTAATATCTAAATATCATATTTGTCCTTCTTAATGTTTTAAAATATCATATTTATCCAAATCTATTTTTTAATGATTTTTATTAATTTATAATTCCTTTTTATAATCTTCAATCATTATAATTGAAAAAACATATCAAATGGACAATAATACCCTTACTGGAATTATATCACAATTCACACTTAAGAATTTACAATCGAAGACTCCCATGAACACATCGCAGGTATTAAAATTGAAGTCACCTTCCTTCTTCCTATGTTATCGCACCTTCCTTCTTGCAACGAGTGAGATTATTTGAAAGCCTAATTTGATGATATGACCAAGGTCACATACGTTTCTCTAATTTTGTTCAAATCTGAACTGGATTCATTCTTGCATACATCGTTGGGAAATATGAAGCATATTTTCGAGTAGATATTTAAGCGCCACCCAAAAGCTATGCAACATATATAGTTATACATTAACGAAAGATAGTAAAGGATGATTTTATTTTTTCATTTAAACAAGGGTCTTCCAGTGAGAAACTAACATAAACCCCTCCGTTATCCAAGAAATGCTTTGTGTTTTTTTTTTTTTTTTGGTACTTCAAAGACCATGAGTTTAAAAGGGTGATAAGTGAAGGGAAATGTGCAGAGAGAAAAAAGGAGGGGGTATTAAGTGAAATGAATGGGCAAACATTTATATGAATTTTCTTTTAATGGTGATCACAAACATTTATGTGGATAACTATGTGTTAGTTGACTATTGTGGTATTTGGATGATATTTACGAAAACTAAAAATAAAAAAGTCATGTTTCCAGTTCCAGCTGAAATGAGAGCTTAAAATTGGAACATAGGAATTTGAGGGACTATTGATAAAAGAACATAATGAAGGCCAAATATGTGGATTCGCAAAAAAAGAAGTTGTTGATATTAAGTGGCTTAGTTTTTTAAATAACTTTTGACTGTATCTTTTAGAAAAAGTCTCAAAAGATGTTTGGCAAAGGGAAAAAGACTTTTGTAAATGACTTTTCCCATAGAGTAATTTGAGTCTTTTTAAAAAGTCACGATTACCTGATTTTTCTCAACTTTTCACCAGCTAAAAATATTAAATTAGCAATATACCCCTCATCTACCCTAAACATGTCATTTTTTATCATTTTACAGGTAAAAGTTAAACCAACACTTTAATTTTTGACTTTTTCCGTTCAAAAGTCAATCCAAACACATTTTAAAAAATAATTTTTGTAAAAAGTTCTTTTTACAAAAAGTTCTTTTACAAAAAATCCTTTTACAAAAAAGACTTTGGCCCCACAAAAGCTAAGCCAAACACCCCCTAAGATAAGATACTTTTGAATGGGTGTTGAAAAAACAAAGTGGTGCAGCTTCATGTACATAGATGTATTAAACATATGAAACTTTGAACGGGTAATACATGTGATGCCATCATGAGGAAGAGGGAATCCTTATGTATGAAATGTGATATAAATCAGTAAGGGCATTATTGTCATTTCATATGTTTTTTTAATAATAATGATTGAAGATTATAAAAAAGAATTATAAATTAATACAAATCAAAAAAGTTGATTTGGGTAAATATGATATTTTAAAATATTAAGAAGGATAAATATGATATTTAGATGTTAGGCCGGACAAATATGATATTTTAACGTTTAGTAAGGTTATAAACGAATTCTCCTTTTTTTTTGTCAATACACTAATTTATTTACGATTTTGCCATTCCGGGGAGCTACAGTAGATTCCGTTGAGCTCTTCGCAGAATGCATGTGTATACCCGAAAATGTTCATTTTCACGTCTAAATTTTGAAAATACCCATCATTTCTTTTACTATTGCCGGTATTCTCCCCTATTATTTTTTCAATAATTTTTCAAACAAATACAATTTATCTAGAAAAACATCACTTTCTCAAATACAAGAAAAGGTCAGCTTTCATTTATTTCTTTCACTGTTTTCCTAATAGATTACTTACTTTTTCGATCACTTTCTCAAATACAAGAAAATATCAGCTTTCATTTATTTCTCACTGTTTTCCTAAGACTGATAGGTATGCGCAACGCCCACACGACGTTATTAGGAAAATGACAAAAAAAAACACGTTATAACGTGTTATGGTGGTAACAAGGAGTAACGCACGGTTTCATAACACCTAATAACGGGGAAGGGGGGCGGTGTTCATATGTTATAACATGCAATATATAACACCCAATAACGCTGTTGCCCATACCCACCTCTCTAATAGATTACTTACTTTTTCAATCTAAACATGTAATCAACAAATCATGCTATGATCGCAAACGAAATATAAGAACAATTATTAAAGGTACAAATAACATATAGTAAATCTCCTAAAATCATTACAAGAATAACCAGTTGATCTTTAACATATCCTACTTGTTAAAGTTTTTAAAAAAATATCAACATAAGACGTTTAATATAACTTTTAATTATTATTGTGCAGATAAACTGAAAGTGATTGTTAAGTTTCTTAACTGTAAATATATTAATTTGTCTTTTTCCAAAAAAAAAAAACTTTTACAAATAAACTATGAATTTAACTTGAAATCTTATACATTTCGTCAAAAGTCTTTGGTTTTTGGCTTGTATAGTTGATTATTATTAACTCCCACTTCGCTCTTTCCCACAGCAATGGTGACATTTTTTCCAAGTTAGTTGAATATTAATCATACACACAAACGGTCTATATAAAGAACATGGGCTTCCACAAATCATAAAAATATCAAACCCTCTTCCCATGGCTCCATGCTTAAATCACTTCAACTTGTTGCAATTGCAAACCATCTCCTTTGTATACATATTGATCACAGTCTCATCATTAAGCCTTGATGAAGAATGCTCAACCTTGTTTCAGTTTAAGCAAAGCATCATTATGCAAGATGATGCAGTTTGTGATGCTCGTTGGTTGCAAAAGTTTAACTCATGGAAGCCTACAAGCAACTCATCGGATACTGGTTTTGATTGTTGTTCATGGGATGGAGTCGTGTGCAGCAAGGAAGATAAGTATGGTCAAGTGATTTCCCTTGACTTGAGTGAAAGCTTTCTTTGTGGGCATATCAACTCTAGCTCCACCCTCTTCAACCTTGTTAATCTCCAAAGACTCAACCTAGCCACGAACAACTTTTTTGAATCTGAAATCCCACCTCAGATTGGTCGTTTGAAGCAGTTAAGAACGCTTAATCTCTCTGATTCTGGATTCACCGGTGAAATCCCGAGTGAAATCTCGCAGTTGACACAATTATCTTCTTTAGACATGTCAGGGAATCCATTAAAGCTTCAAAGTCATGGTCTCCATCTAGTGCAAAACTTAACAAGACTTGAAGAACTCCATCTCTCCGGGGTTGATATTAATTCTTCGGTGCCTCGTTTCTTGGCAAACTTTTCTTCTTTGAGTTCCATCAGGCTATTTGCTTGTTCACTTCTGGGTGAATTCCCTGTAGCCATATTTGAGTTACCACAGTTGAAAATTCTTAGTTTGGGATCCAATACCAATCTCATTGGTTCCTTTCCTGAATTTCGTAACAACAGCTTGCTTCAATATGTGGATGTAGCTTTAACAAGTTTCTTTGGAATCGTGCCAGAATCCATAAGCAACCTAAACCATTTGCTATATTTGCGCCTCACTGGATGCTCTTTCTCGGGTCGCATTCCAGGTTCGTTTTCCAACTTGACCCAACTCACTAGCTTGCGTCTTGCTGGAAATGAATTCACAGGCTTAGTTCCTTCACTGGTAAGTCTTTTGGAACTTGATTATTTGGAACTAAGTGGTAACAAATTCGAGAAGGGTCCTTTTCCTAATTGGATTGGAAAGCTGACTAAACTTAGTAAATTGTATTTAACTGGTACGAACATGTATGGTGAAATCCCACCTTTTCTTGGAAACCTAACCAAACTTAGGGTTGTTGCAATAGGAAAAAATTATCTTAGTGGTCATATACCATCCTCGTTTTTCAACCTCACTCAACTCACAATCTTAGACCTTCAAGATAACGAATTGCAAGGGCCAATTTCAAGCTCATTTTCCAACTTTAAAAGTCTTCAAGATCTTCTCCTAAAGTTGAACAACTTCAGTGGTAGGGTAGACATAGACATATTCCTAGGTCTCAACAAACTAGAAACTCTCGCGTTAGGTCATGGTACAATATCGTTAGTGTCCACCAAAAACTACACCAATAGCACCATACCACAATTGAGCCGATTAGAACTAACATCATTAAATTTGAAGGATTTTCCTGTTTTTTTGAGGTTTCAAAATAGATTGTCAGCCTTACTTCTTAGTAACAACCTAATTGAGGGTCTTGTACCGGTGTGGATTTGGAACAATAGTCAAGAAACGTTAGGGGTGATTGATCTTACGTATAATAATATCACTGGCTTTCATCAGAATCCTCGTATTCTACCATGGATACGTTTAGAAGGATTTTTCATGATGAATAATCGGTTACAAGGACAACTACCAATTCCACCACAAACCACGGTTGTTTATGATGTCTCGAATAATAATTTGACACGAGAAATCCCACCATTGTTATGTGAAGTGAAATCTCTTCGAGTGTTAGATTTGTCTTCTAACAATATGAGAGGAACTCTTCCTTTATGTTTGGGTAGCTTAAGTAATTCGTTGTTCATTTTGAATCTGAGAAGCAACAACTTCTATGGCATAATGATGAATGGGTTTACACATGGAAGCCAGTTGAAAAGTATTGATTTGAGCGAAAATGGGTTTATAGGTCAACTTCCAAGATCATTGACAAATTGTACCGATTTAGAGGTTCTTTCTCTTGGAGATAATTCTTTTGATGATGTCTTTCCCATTTGGTTGGGATCTCTTGCTAAACTACAAGTTCTAGTTTTGAGGTCTAACAACTTATATGGTCCAATTCAAGATTCGACAAATGTTTCTTCACAATTCTCCAAGTTACGTATCATAGACCTATCTAATAACAATTTCAGTGGTCTATTGCATGAAGAATACTTCCAAACTTGGAATGCAATGAAATCAGTTTATAATGGCGAATCATCTGTTTTGGAATCATTGATGTCCTTGAACTCATTCACGTCACAAAGGCCATACTCGATGACATTAATACACAAAGGTGTCAGAACACAGTTCGAACGTATCTTAGACATATTCACAGCTATCGATCTCTCTTCTAACAATTTTGAAGGGGATATTCCATTATCAATCCAAGATCTTCGAGGGCTTGAATCACTCAATCTTTCCAACAATCATTTTCAGGGACGCGTGTTTCCATCATTGGGGTACCTAGAGAATCTCGAATCTTTAGATCTCTCTCGAAACAAGCTGTCTGGAGAAATTCCTCAACAATTGGTGCAACTCAGCTTTCTTGCTATTTTCAATGTGTCATTCAACAATCTTGATGGGCGTATACCACAAGGGAAACAGTTTAATACATTTGAGAATAGCTCGTATGAAGGGAATCCTCGATTATGTGGAGAACCTTTATCCAATGATTGTCGAAATTGGAATGTATCAAGATCTGAACCAACAAGCGATGAATCGGAGTCCCTATTCCCAAGTGAAGGAATTGATTGGGTGTTCGTATTTTGTGGGGTTGGAAGTGGGCTAGTTATTGGGATTGTTATTGGGAGCTTTCTATATACAAGATATATTGATGGGTTCACAAAGAGAAAGATCATATAGAGAAGAAAGCTAGTCAAGTTTTGTGAAGCTCTTAAATGTATTTTAGTCATAGTATTCTTTTGTTTTCAAGCTACTTTTAATTTGGATCAATTCCATTTCTTTAAGGTGTAGTATTTGGTGTTTGTGTAATTGTAATGAAGGGTTCATGTTCTCGGTATATGTAAGTTGATAAATATTTTAATATTTAATATTTTAACAAAATACCAAAATAACATCGCACAATTTGAACCTTATTATAAATTAGATAAAAGTTATATTAACTTGTTTAACAATTTCTTTGGAAATTTCCTCATCAATAGTTCAATAATGTGACAAGGACTTTCCAAACAAATGGAAAATGGATATGTTTAATGTTGGAGCCCATTTACAATGAAATATTATTAGTTTAATTTTTTAAGATCTCAATATTTAAAATGTTTTTATTTTTTATGATCTAAAATTTTAAGAGATTAGATAGCACACTGGAATGGAAAAAAGATATGATGAAGGAAAAAGATTTGCTGAAAAATTAGAGTATTTTGGAACAAGTTTTTTTTTCTTTTTCTTTCAAATACAACTATTTCTCTTAAAAATTAAAAGGTTGTTAAACGATTAAGAGACAAAGATTAAGATGCCATCAAACATTCTGAATCTAAGAATTAAAAATTTGCATCTTAACTGAAAAATTAAGAGGCAACCAAACAGCTATATAAGTGTCTCAATTTTTTTAAAATAAGTTTCACTATTAAAGTTCAATTAATTAATATGAGTAAAAAGAAGTAAGTTATAATTTGTTAGGTGTTTGACTTTGACTGTGTTGTGACAATAACATACTTAGGTGTCCTTTATGTTAGGCAACATACTTACAAAATTAACATTCAACTATGAAAATGAAACCACAAAAGGCTAAACACATAATCAAAATTATTCAACACATAATCAAGATTATCAACTAGTAAAACTCATTATGCGAATGTATAAGTTATACGACTGGCTATGCACAGAGTTCATGATGGAGTTTAGCCATGAATGGCTAAACACATAATCAAGTTTATTCAACAACAAGCTTCAAAAGAAAAAAGAAAAAAAAAAAAATCTAAACAGAGTAAATTGCCTACAACAGTATGCACTATCGATCAAATGATCATATAACTTATGAACTTAAAAGCCATGGTTGAAGAACTTGTAGAACTTCAAGAATTTACTCACTGATTACATACATAGATTAAGATTTCTTATTTCTTATTTCTTATTACCTCCTCATTGACCTCAGTTCTTCCAATTGCGACTTGATTTGATCCTGCACCAATTCCAATCTCTTTGAACAAACTTCCAACTCTAATATGTGTTGCTTCCTCCATTTCTCATCAGTAATATCCCCAAATGGGAAATTCATAGATCCGAAAAGAGAAAAAGGATCAAAATTCATCCCTCCGGAGCTTAATCCCCTGAAATTGCCACGACCCATGTTCTGTGAACCATCGAGCAACTCCTTGAACAATGGTAGTAAATAATTCCTCACAGTTTCTTCAACCACGTTAGGGATTGGATTTGAAAAATTCGAAACCCCTTCTACCACAGGTGGAGCAGGGGGTTGTTGCTGAATGATTTTTTCCTCGATTTTGACTCCACTAGGCCTTGATCGCTTTCTTGATCGGGGAATTTTCTTCTCTGAACTGTTGGGATGTGGATGTGGATGTGGATGTGCAACGCCGTTACCGTTTTGCTCGTTCAAGTTAAAAGTAAGGTTTAGGTTAGGATTTGGGTAAGGGTTAGGGTTATTGGGTTCTTCGTCTTCGAATCTGGCAACATCTGCAGTTGCAGGAGTGGATACGAGAGCAGCTTCGGAGCTCCATATCTTACATGATAGCTCGAAAGTGATCTGATCATGGGCGCTCTTGAAGACATATTCTTTGCCGGAACTGATCTTACTGAGAACATTCCGGTACTTCTTTTTCAATCTCCGGAGCTTCTCAACCAATTGATTCTTATTGAAATCCAACTGCAATTTATTCTTGATCTGATCATAAAAAGCAGTTGTATCATGGTGATGGTGGTGGAACGGGTTATTAACAAGACGCTGGTTGGTGTAATCAAGGAATCCCTGTAACAGCTCAATCTCATCTTCATCTGTCCATAGCCGCTGGAACAAACGTCGAGACTCGTCTAAAGGCACGATCTTCCTCTGTTCTACAACACCATCAGATCGGGAGATGGGAGTGGCGTTAACCGTACCAGTTATTGCTGCCGTTGGTGTAGCGGCGACGGCGGTGTTGGCGTTGGGAACACCAGCTACGGCGATGGTGACTCCACCGACGCCGGAGGACACGGAATCATCCTCTTCTTCGTCATCAACCAAATCAACATCGTCTTCATCAACGTTCTGATTAGGTAGGGTTAGATCGTCGTCTTCGCTTTCATCTTCTTCGTCTAGATCTTCGCCGTAGACGGTGGCGATGTGGTCGTCTTCTTGGGAACCCATGGTGGTTGAATCTAGGGTTGGGTGCCAAACAAAGAAGGGGGGTTACTGGTTAGGTTGGGTGCGCGGGGTTAGGCCTGTGGTGAAAAGGAAGGCTTCGGTGGAGGACCACGGGAAGGAGCGTGGCGTGTTGGCTTCTTTTTCTCTCGTACCGTTGAGAATAAATTAAAATTTCCTATTAAGAGATACAACACTTCACTCATTGAATAATAATTAAATTAGACCAATTCTTTTAAGACAAATTTACATATGTTCAATTATTAGTTTTGTTGCAATTAGCAAAATTAGTCATTCGTGCTAACGTTCTATCACTTTGCTTCCATCAAGAATCCTTTTACATAAGGGATAACATCTTTGTTGTTTTTCTAAATTTCGTTTATAATTCACTAGTGTAAATCTCATCGTCTATCACTATTAAACCCTAAATGACAATTGAGTTGATAAATTAGACAATGTATGCAATATGTATTTTGTTCTTCTCATTTGATTGTTAGTTTGTAAGTTATGATTGTAAACGTTTTACAGTTCTAAAGCTTCGATTCTATGGGTTTTTTTTTTTTTTTTTTTTTATTTTTTTTATTTTTACATTTAGTTAGATTCTGAACATTTCTTTATTGTATTTTATTTACTTTGATTGTCATTTCTTCTATACGAAAATTTATTAGTCCTTAAACCCATTATTTGACATACATGCTTATCAATAAGAGGCTTTCATAACATATTAAACATAAAGATGCATTACAATAGTTTCTTCACCCGATCCCTTGGAAAGATGTATATTAATGGTGAGGTTTACTACTTTGATATCATAAACATAAAGGGTTTTGCCATGTTAGACCTTTATACCATGACGAGAGAACTCAAGTAAGATAAAAGTCTTCCTATTTGTTATTTTTTCTTGATCCCCCTAGATGATGTAGACAACAGCCTAATAACCATAGAGGATGGTGAAGACATCACCTTTTATGTTTCATTTTATTTCACACAACAAGGAAATCTATATTTACACAAATCATGACATTTCTTCCTCCCCAATAGTGGAATGCAAAAACCATCTCAATGATGATCCACTAGATGAAGATTGAGTACATTAGGCTAATAATTCCCTAGCCATTATGGTATATGAAGGAATAGAGATTGTTGAAGAGGCTAGCAGATCCTAAGCTAGAATTGTGTATGAAGATGAAAGTTTGATAATTCCAAGTGTGTGGAGAAGGTGGAGAATAATAGTTGGGACCATGACAATGTAGAGAGGGCAGTTTGTTGGTGATAGTAAAAATGGTGGTGAAGATGTTGAGATGAATGGCAGTTTAGTTGCCTATATTGGAGGTTATCAGTATGGTGGTGTAGGTAAGTAGGATATATGTGGATGGTTGTAAGTTTTTGTTATTTTTTTAGTTCGGTAATTGGATTTTGGTAAGTAGATACTATGCTTTGGATTAGTTGAATGTAAGTTATTGATGGTTGTGTATTTGTATGAATGGATTATGATCCATAATAGCCTATTTTGAAGTTTCTATGTATATCATTTGTTTAAAGTTATGAAACGACCCAAAAATACGACCCAAAAATTTCGTTTTTCAATATAATCAAAACCATAATATGAGTATCATAACACAAAAAAAACATACGCGATGTATCCCAAATCATAATAAAATACTGTGCGGAAGACTGTATCATACTATATCAAATCCAAAACAACTAAAACCATCCCCAGGATAAAAGCTAAGCTGTGGTGTGTGCGATGCATTCACCCCGAGCTCTTCCCTTTGCTTGCGGAAGTACCTGAAACCAAAACTGAAACTGTAAGCACGAAGCTTAGTGAGCTCCCACAAACTACCACATACCATACAATAACATATAAACACATATTGGGCCTCGCCCACTGCATCGGGCCGAAGCCCGGAAACTGCATCGGACCGAAGTCCGGAACTGACTGGGACCTTGTCCCCTGCATCGGACCGAAGTCCGGAACTAACTGCATCGGACCGAAGTCCGGAACTGACTGGGACCTTGTCCCCTGCATCGGACCGAAGTCCGGAACTAACTGCATCGGACCGAAGTCCGGAACTAACTGCATCGGACCGAAGTCCGGAACCGACTGGGACCTTGTCCCCTGCATCGGACCGAAGTCCGGAACTGACTGACTGAACATGGCATAGCATAACACATCAACTAGCATGAACACATATACGCATACTACATCGGGCCGTAGCCCGGAACACATAACACTTAACGCATAAAACATAGCACACAAATCCTGTTCGAGCCACGAAGGCATCAAACGTACTAGCTACTGCATCGGACCTAAATCCGGAAACTACTGCTAACTGAACGGGCCGGCATTGTGGCCTTAGACCCGTTCCTACTGGAAGGAAACTCACCTCGTAAGCTGGCTGCTGAGTGTGTGGCTCGGGAAGCTAACGGCTGCTGCTCCTGAATCTCCTCGGCTACAAGTCCATAAACACACTCAATCAAATACTAAACACTGCGCTTGGGGTAAAATGACTCTTTTACCCTTGGTCAAAGTCAACTCTCTTTTGGGCTGACTCGCCGAGTTGGGCCGCCCAACTCGCCGAGTCCTACTCTCACTTCTCAGTTCTACACGCTGCTACTCGTCGAGTGTGGCATCGACTCGACGAGTACCCACTTGATCCAAGAACTCAGACAATCTTCATCCGACTCGCCGAGCCGTATGAACAAACTCGACGAGTTGTTCTTGATCTTAAGAAGATTGCCTTGGACTCGCCGAGTTGTATGAACAACTCGCCGAGTCCCTCCATCACTGAGTCTACCTCAACTCGCTGAGTCCACTCTCTAACTCACTGGATCCACTCGACACTGATAAAAATGAAGGAATCGGGAACTCGCGACCCAACTCGCCGAGTCGTTCTTCCCGACTCGCCGAGTTGCCGCCATGCAACTGATTTTTACTCGATTTTGTTTGAATCCAACACATACATTGATAGATCTGAGTCCAATAAGCTGATTTACCACGTAAAGTTTCCAACTTTACGTGTACAACCTCATGAATAAGGGAAATAAGGCTAAAAGATGCATAAAATGGGTAGATCTATGGTTAATATGCAAAGTAACTCCAAAAAGGCAGTAGATCTGGGCTCTACAACACCCAATCATTCAGATCTAAAGATATCTCGACTTATTAAGGCATTCATGCAAACATAAGGCTTGGAACAAGCATCAACTAGATCTAGGAGAGCTCTAATGGAGGTTTAAAGCATATAACAAGAGGGGAAATCCGAAAATACCTCAAATAACTCAGATTTGCCCTTGGATCTTTGCACTACACTCTTCTCCTTGCTCCTTTCTTCTTCTCCTTCTTCAACCTTCACAAAATGGCACAAAACACTTAGCTCACACAAGGGTGGATTAGGGTTCTTTCTCACAGTGTTCTCAGGGTGAGGGAGGCGAGAATGGGGCTATAAGGTGACTTAAATAGTGGGCAACCCGGGGATTTAGGGTTTCACCCAGACGGATGGACTCGCCGAGTCAGGGATATGGACTCGCCGAGTCCCCGGCTCACGCGTGCTCGAAGTCGCGACCCTACTCGGCGAGTCAGGCTATGAACTCGCCGAGTCCCTCTTGCAAAACTTACAACAATTACCAATGAATTAACATACCGGGAACGGGTCGTTACAATTCTCCCCCACTTGTCTCAGACTTCGTCCTCGAAGTCTGCTTCGGCTGGATCTGCAAATATCTCCGGGTAGTGCGCTCTCATCTCCTCCTCAGCCTCCCACGTCCATTCAGACCCCTTCCGGTGCTGCCACTGCACCTTCACTAGCTGAATTACCTTGTTCCTCAAGGTCTTGATCTTCCGTTCCAGAATCGCGACCGGCCTCTCAATATAATTCAGGCCGCTATCAACCTGAATGTCCTCTAGGGGAACGACTGCTGTCTCATCCACCAAACACTTCCTTAACTGCGACACGTGGAAGGTGTTGTGTATCTGACTAAGCTCCTCGGGAAGATCCAATCGATAAGCAACCCGACCCACCCGGGCCAAAACCCTGAAAGGACCAATAAATCTGGGGCCCAATTTGCCCCTCTTCCGGAACCTGATGACACCTTTCCAAGGTGAGACTTTCAGAAGAACCATATCTCCCACCTGGAACTCCAAGTCCGAACGCCTCCTGTCGGCGTAGCTCTTCTGCCGACTCTGCGCAGTCTGCAGCCTACTACGGACCTGCTGGATCAACTCAGTCGTCTTGAGCACCACTTCGGTGCTCCCTATGACTCGCTGACCGACCTCGCCCCAACAAATCGGGGTCCTGCACTTCCTGCCATATAACATCTCAAAAGGAGGTCGATCAATGCTCGCATGATAACTGTTGTTATACGAGAATTCCGCTAACGGAAGATACGTATCCCAACTGCCCCCAAAATCTAGAACACATGCCCTAAGCATGTCCTCAAGAGTCTGAATCGTCCTCTCGCTCTGCCCGTCAGTCTGAGGGTGGAAAGCGGTGCTGAAATGGAGACGAGTACCCATCTCGTCGTGGAACCGCTTCCAGAATCTGGACGTGAAACGAACATCTCGGTCCGACACCACCGATACCGGCACTCCATGACGTGCCACAATCTCCCGCACATAGATATCGGCTAACTTTTCCGCCGATATACTCTCCTGAATCGGAATAAAATGAGCACTCTTCGTCAACCGATCCACTACTACCCATATCGAGTCCACTCCACGTGCGGTCCTGGGGAGTTTGGTGACAAAATCCATGGTGATATCCTCCCATTTCCACACGGGAATGTCTAACGGCTGCATCTTGCCGTGAGGTCTCTGGTGCTCCGCCTTGACCTTCCGGCAGGTCAAACATCTCTCAACATACCAAGCGACGTCCCGCTTCATGCAGGGCCACCAATAATCAGGTCGAAGATCTCGATACATCTTCGTCGCTCCTGGGTGGATAGAAAATCGAGACTTATGAGCCTCGTCCATCAATACTTGCCGTACCCCACCCCAGTACGGTACC